AAGAAATTGCTATATGGTTCGAAGTAGTCTCATCGACAATGGTATAGGCGATTCGATGGTTTTATGATTGGTCATTCATACACTCGGAGCCAGTTTGATCCTTACGTATATTTTCGCAAGTTGAAAGGAGGTGCGTACATCTATTTGTTACTTTATGTCGATGACATGTTGGTTGCCTCTATTTCCAGATATGCTATAGATGAGTTGAAGGCACAGTTTTCAAAGGAATTTGAGATTAAGGATTTGGGTCAGGCGAAGGATGGAGATCGACAGAGACAAGAAGAATGACAGAATTTGTTTGACACATGTGGCTTATTTGAAGAAGGTTCTACATCGATTTCATGTTAGTATGAATACGAAGCCAGTTAGTGTACCATTGGGAGCCCATTTGAAGCTTTCAGCTGACCTTTCACCGAAGTCAGTTAAAGATCGAGAGTTGATGTTGAAGACTTTATATGCGAGTACGGTTGGGAGCTTGATGTATGCGATGGTATGTATGAGGCCAGATTTGTCACAGGCGCTCAACATGGTTTCGAGATACATGCACGATACAGGAGTGGGTCATTGGGAAGTCGTGAGATGGATTTTGAGGTACATTCGAGGTACGCTCAATGTTGGTTTAGTTTATGAGCGGGCACTACAGGTGGGCACTTATGCATTGGCTACGTTGATTCGGATTATGCCAGAGATTTGGATAAGCGTCGGTCTACTACGGGGTATGTATTTATTTTGACCCATGCACCGGTGTGTTGGAGATGCACCTTACAGTTGACGGTGGCTTTATCTACGACGGAGGTAGTGTATATGGCGATTACGGAGGTTGTGAAGGAGGCTATTTGGCTTCAAGGACTTTTGGAGGAACTTGGTATATCGCAGGGGCTCATCACTATTTATTGTGATAACATGAGTACTATCTATTTGGCGAAGAATCAGGTTTTTCATGCAAGGATGAAGCACATTGACGTTCGTTATCACTTCGTTAGAGATGTTCTTGAAGATGACGATGTGGAGATTGTGAAAGTCCACACGAAGGATAATCCGACGGATATGCTCACTAAGGTGGTTCCGAGCAACAAGTTTGATCATTGTCGAAACTTGTTGCACATTCGTGATTGTTGAGGCCGTTGGCGGCCGTTTGGGTGAACTACGTGAGGCTTGATTCCTTGTGCAAGAGGATACGTAGGCAGTTTTTACGATGCTGCCGGTTTGGATTAGTTGATTTTGATGAGGGTGAGATTGTTTGGACTCTCGTTCGGATTCCCGACTTGTTGTGGATTGAGTCCATTGTCGTGAATTAACTTCACGGTGTACTGGACACAAGAAGTGGGATATTTGGTTGCTTTGGTGTCGGCTCAAATTTGGGAAAACTTCGCCGATGTGAAGAATTGTGAACACATGATGTGGGGGCCACATTGTGATCAGAAGCGGAAGCAAAAGCGCGTTTTCGTGAAGGGATGTTCGTGGGGGCCCACCCACATTTGTGAACGGATTCGGAGACGCGTTATTTGTGAACGCGGTTTCGTGGACGCGGATTCAGAGATGAAGCCTATAAATAGGATTTTTTTAGGGTTTTTTTGTGCGCAAGGAGGTTTTGGCTGCGGGAAAAATTGCGGCTACAGGTGAAAACGCAGATGTAAAAGTGGAGATCTTGAGAAGGCTTTTGTTAGGGTATTGTTGGAGAAATTTATGAGAGATTTGCGAGTTTGTTTGAGGGTTTAATTTGTGTGATTGTAAACCCTATTTGTATTCTCTCTCTCTATTAGTAGATCTCCCCCTCCTTGCCCCGTGGACGTCGGCTATTTGCCGAACCACGTAAAATTATTTTGTCTCGCTATTTGTGTGATTTATAATAGCTTATTTAGGTTCCCTCGATAGGTCAGTCCTAGAACTGATGAGAGGAAGAGCTGATATCTCACTTGGTTGAGATATTTTGCTTAAGGTTTTTGTTTCTTTTGTGAAACAGGAATTCCTATTGCGACCTGACTCTCTTATTGTGCTGCCGAAGTGCTACCAAAATTTTCGCTGTGCGC